GAATCGCGAGAATGTCCATAATGATCCCTCCACAGTGCTGACTCACTTTTCACCACAAGCCTTTGTATTGCCCAACGAGTGAGTTTACTCATAGCGTCCTCACTTGACGACTCTAACTTGACATCTCTGATCAGCGACAGCTTCCCAACTGTCAGCTGTGCAGCCGCTGAGAGAAGGACAACCTCGCCACTCCTCTCTAGCTCGACTCTATCGCCAGACTTGATAACTTCCCTCAGGCGGGTTACTGTGTCTGAGCCAGGAATAATGAGCCTCTCCAAAAACATATCCATGATACTCACCTTTGTCCCAAGTTATGTGGTCTACCATATTTGTTTGTAAGACGCATCCTGTCCATGCCCTCCTCATGAGCTTATCGAAAACAACGCAATCAAAGCATGCTTCGGCCTTCGGTGACATCGCTTCGTCCGCCGCTGGCCATCGACTGATCATTGGGAGCGGTCTTGAGGATCCTGGGAACGTCACCTCAGTGACGAGGTAGATAGGATCGCCCATTAAATACTGAAGATTTATCCAATAAGGGATGGTTACTAACAATGGATTGTGCAGGGGGAGATTCTGAAGTTCACGCAAAGGCCCCTCCGGCACTTTTGCAGCAACACTGGCTTACAAAACTTACTGTGTAGGCACACAACGAACGACTCTCAAGTCGTGATCACCGATGATACCAGTGTTTACTCCACGCACGGCTGGGGTTAGCCGCTCGAGCACTAAGCCTCGATCGCAAGAGCTCAAAGTCCAAGACCTAGGCTGGAGAGCATCACCTGGTCTACAACTTAAATGCATCCACAGCCATTCCAGGCCAGCTCGATCTTTTGCTCGATAACTGGGCGTCCATGTTTGGGTGATGGCATAGCCGCCCCAGGCGGCAGAATCGATCTTACTAACAGCGAAATTGGTTGTACCAAGGCATATCTTGGGGTAGTGGTGGCATAGCCGCCCCAGCCGATTATAGTAAGGCATATCTTGGGGTAGTGGTGGCATAGCCGCCCCAGCCGACATGATTGATATTACTAACAGCGAAATTGGTTGTACTAAGGCATATCTTGGGGTAGTAGTGGCATAGCGGCCCCACCCAACTAACAACGAAATAGGCCTCTAAACCGTGTGATGACTGTTAGATTCTCCGCAGTATGAAGATTCTATTCTTCGTCGATGACTGAAATCGAACATATAAACAAACTCGAGATGGTCGTCGTTTGCATTGACTTGTTGACTCATTGACACTGATGGGGGTTCTACTGAAACGTTACTTACGCTTGACAGGTCGATAAAGAGTAGGCGCTACATCAACCAGCCATTGACTGTCGATCTGGCTTATGTGAATCATCTCGTAAGCACCATTGTTAGAACCAGTATCGACGCCATGGCTGTAGACGACATAGTTTGGAGGTCTCTGGACACCATAGAGGACACTCTGCTGTCCTATCACCAACTGCCGTCGCCGGTCTCGTAATGACACATACCGACCACTGCTATTCACCTGTCACAGGTGCCTGTGAGGCCGCATTCGCTGCGAAAGCACCACAGATGCAGCGACAGAGCGGCTCGATATCATCACCGCAAGACTCGTCCACCTTCGACTGAGCTTTAGCAGCATCCATCCCAGAATCAATGAGAACTTGACAGAGCTGTCGGCGAACAACACTGGCGATCTTAGCAGCCCGAGACATCGATCCAACATGCACCATATGGCGATGAGCCCAGTCTGTGTCACCATCAGGGGACGTCTCGTTCTCCCGCCATTCTCGATACACGTTAATCATTGTTAGCATATCGCCTTCATGGACACCAAGTGAACGCTTACACGCTGCTAGACGCTCGCGAGTACTCCTGCTGTGCGGTCTGGCCCAAATAGAGTCAATACTCATCAGAGCTGCGAGCTGCACTGCTTCGAGTGAGCAGCCATAGTCGACAGACAACAGAAGGAGCCGGGCTTGAGCTGGACTCAATGGCAACAACTCAGCTGCACGCTTGTCTGCGATGATACCTTTGTCGTCGATGAACCCTAACACGCGTAGTTCTTCAAGCGCTGCCTCCATAGCTCGTGCTGATGGCGGGGTCAACCACTGCAGAGAGCAAACGTTGCGAACGCCCAGAGATATGATTTGGAGCAACACTGACGAAAGCGAGGGCGTTCGAGTGATCTCCGGAAGTGTTTTGTCCGGGAAGGCCCCGAGGGAAGACTTAGAGAACAGTCGATAGCATATTCCCGGGCAAACTCGACCAGCCCGGCCGGCCCGCTGAACTAGCTGCTCTTTACTGCATGGCGTGACCTATTATAAGAACCATGCTTCCATCTAATGCTGAGCCGATGCTCCTACCAAAAGTGTGTGGTGGTTAGGCACCGTTGCCAAGGCTTGCTTCACGAATCCCGTGTCGACAACATAGCCGACATTGGGGATAGTAACGCCGCTCTCCGCCACGTTGGTGGAATACACGACTTTACGGCTGCCACGTGAGACAGGTTTCAATGCTTCGAGTTGGAGACCGACAGGGAGGCCAGAATGGAGGGCGAAGGTGACCAGGGGACCGCCGCCACTGGGACGACTGAAATAGAGGAGCCACAACGATTATACTTGTGTCAAAAAATCCATCAAAAATGTGCGTTCCGAAATTCGCGACAACAACGACCAGACCGTTGTGTGAGAATGCAGACCGAAAACACAGCGGTTCTTCGGTCAACAACAAACAAGATAATCACTATAACGGAACAAGGGCATGGGGACTAAGATAAGTGAGCCTTCCCCTCGACTCGATAGAGACATGCGCTGTAAGTTGTAACAACAGGCTAGATGGCAAGCCTTGCGAGTGACCGACTATCCCCCCTACTTATAATCAGTGATGCGCTCCTTCGTCAACTTTACTGCAGCATCGATCTCCTCCTGACCGGTCAGAAAGACCAGGATGTCGGCTCCATACGGAGGCACTGAACAACAATAAGAGGATGACCACTGGCTGCTCTGAGGGGCAATGCTGAAGAGCCTATTCCAGAATAGGGGAAACCCCAGAGCAAACCGATCTCCTAGACTCTGATAAAAATGAGTGATACTCCTAAGCACTTCAGAGACAACGTTCGCTAAGCAACCACTGATCGATGGAACATGGGATAACGAGGAAATATCGCCAGTACGGCGAGCAGGGACCCATTTAGCTTTGAGAAATAACGTTCCCTAGTGTTTGATAACAATGGGGAAAATGTTGCTAATGTGATGATGACATTTACATGGGAAACTGATTGAAGAATGTGTTCCTAGCCATCCGTGGAAAATTCAAAATGAGTTCCCCCCGGGAACATTATAGGTTCCTGGATGATTTCCCGACTGCAAGACGTTGAGCCTTTCATTACACAACTATGCAATGCTACAGTGCTTCGAACAATCCCTAACTTTGTATGAGAAAATGAACAAAAAAGGGCACTGGAGATCACCACGACACGGAAATAACATTTCGAGCGACGAATCCTACCTACCTTCCTCGCTAGTATGGATCCTGATGACCGTCTCAACCGCAGTCGCCACATAATTAGCACAGGCTTCAGTGAGATAATGAGTGGTGACCGGATAGCACCTTCCTTCTACTGACATCGTTACGACCTATACACAGTGTAGGGGGTGGGGGACATCCACATGGTCAACCACATATGTTGATGACAATATCAAAATTCTAAGGAAATTTCGGGAAATTCTTATCAATTCCTGCACATTTTTTCCCGACCCCGCATGTATGATGATTGACGAAATTCCCAAATTCAGCTGAGGAAAGCAAATATAAATTCCAACACTGCATGGTCAGCCACATATGCTGATGACAATATGAAAATTCCGAGGAAATTTCGGAAAATTCTCATCAATTTCTGTCCTTTTTCACCCATACTCCTATAACTATTGAGGAAAACTCTCAAGTTCAGCTGACAAAAACGAACATATATTCCAACCCTACTTCAACAGTTCCAATGAATGCTCACCGTGTCCAGCTGGTCGCCCTCGCCGACATCCGTGAGATCAAGCATAGTCTCCTTATCAGAGGGAATTTCAAAATCCCACTTTGATTTTCTTCGTGGGCGCTTCGGCTCAGGTCGGCCGGCGGCCTCAGATTTCTTCCCGAGATGCTTCATAACAAATTTCTGAACGCTAAGTGCATCCAGAGTAGCACTCGATATAATCAGTCTGAAAATTGGGCGAAAAACTCCGACGGAACTTTTTACCCAACTATTACCTTAGTTTTGGTCGCTTTGGCATGATTCTTGTGACCAATAGACTTAGCAATAGATCCAACTGAGTCGATCTCTCATGAAAATCGTCCAGCATAATCACACTGTACCTAAGCCGACCCACAACAGATGAACGGCCACAACCGTCGTTGTTATTCACGAGAAAATAACGGAAAATTATCCGAAATTTTATCCGAAATGATCAAAATTTTATTTTTTAGCAAGTACCAACAAAACAGTCAATCGACTTATTCAAACGCGTATTTTTCTCGCGACTCCCATCAGGAATAAATTTCCCAATATTTCATCATCAAAAATGTAGTGCGAGAGCACATGGTTGGAAAACCTGCATTTGAGAAGCATCATGTCCCTGAAGTTTAGTTTCTCTACAAGTCTTCTTCACAGTTGTAATTTTTCACATACTTCTATCAAGAACATCTATTGTGTAAAAACATATGCGTATTTTTATCAATAGAGTTGCACTCGTTTTACGTGAAGTGGCGTAAAACTCCGTGAAAAACGCGATATTCGCGGTGATATGCAGTAGTCGCGAAATATGTTTTTCACTAGTGTTTCTCATATCACTAGGGTGAAACTCCAATAATAAATTTTCCGAAATTTATCACAAAAATTGTGAGAGCGCACGGTTACAATACTTTTTTCCACGATTTTTTTCACATTGCAGTTTTCCGCATGCTGCAAACACCTATACTCACTGAGTGAAAAGAGGATCGCCCAACATATACGCCAACGCCATTCCGTCCGTAACGACCATTATGCGGTTCCGGCCTCATCGACGTTCCTTTCGAAAC